CTCCGCTCGCCTCTCTCTCCCCTGCTCCAACCCCCCCTCCGCTCGCCTCTCTCTCCCCTGCTCCGACCCCCGCTCGCCTCTCTCTCCCCCACACTCTGACCCTCGCTTACCAGGCCCTCCTGCCTCTCTCTCTCCTGCTCCGACCCCTGCTTGCCAGCACCCTCCTGCCTCTCTCCCCCCTGCTCCGACCCAGGGACCACGCCCATCTTCTCCACACCCCACCACGGTCCGGTCCGCATGCTTCAGGGTCCCCTCCGCCCGCATTCCTGGAACTCCAAACTCTCTCCTTCACAGCCCCTCGCAATCCTTTCTCTTTAGCTTTCGAAGGAAGCTCTTTTAGGAAGTCATCAGAGTAATAAATAATGTCCTGTTTTCTGCCTTCCTCTTTTCTGCACCATTCGCTCAAATGCGAGGCTTCGAGAACCCTGGCGTTTGTGCCTTTCCTGTGCCCTTAGCAGCGGCTACCTCCACTCTCCCTTTTGTCACCCTGGATGCCCAGGGTCTTCCACTGACGCCATCCGGCCATGTCTCCTTTTTCTGTCCCTAAACTGTGTTCAAGGGGTGCACGGCCCAGAGGGCCAGGCTAGCCCTCAGACCTCAGGGTGCCGCATGTGACTCCATTTCCCCCGCTGGTGGGTTCCTGTCCTCCTCTGCCAAGAGCCTTTCGTGACCTCACTTCCCTGGGACTCCACATCCCAGCATGTCTACAGGCAAATGGAAGACCGTGTCACTTGTCACTTACTTGTCACAACAGCTTCTAGTCTTTACAAAGTGAGACAGCTGGAGTGCAGTGGCATCATCATAGCTCACTGCGATCTCAAACTCCTGGGCTCAAGGGATCTTCTTGCCTCAGCCTCCCAAGTACCTGGGACCATAAGTGTGTGCCACCACACCTGGCTAATTTTTCTATCTTTTGTAGAGACGGGGTCTTGCTATGTCGCCCAGGCTGCTTTCAAACTCCTGGCCTCAAGTGGTCCTCCCTGCTCAGCCTCCCAGAGTGCTGGGATTAGAGCATGAGCCACCATGCCCGGCTACTTCTCTCCTGTATTTTTAAATGCATGTGGAAATTTTTTCATGATAGCTGGAAACCATACAATGAAAGGACATTCAAAAAAACATGAATCATTACTAGTGATGTCATTGTCGAATTTGTCGTGGCTATATTTAGTCCACACTCTGAGCCCAAGGAGTCATTTCAAATAACAGCAAGTTGCCTGTTTAATTAAGTCAGATGGACACATGTAGCAGGAATTGAATCCTGAATGGTTCAGGCTCCTTTGAATTGGACTTGCTGCTTCCAAAGCATGAATGGACAGTTACTTGCAGCGACTTTCCACACTTGCGATAGCACCTGGGCAGGTTTCTCAACCTCAGCACGAGATATGTGGGACTGGATGTCTCTCTGTGGTGGGGCGTGCTGTCACCGTAGGGTGTTGGGCAGTGTCCCTGGACTCCACCCACCATATGCCAGTAGCACCCTGCTCTCCCCCAGTTGTGACAACCAAAAATATCTCCAGACTTTGCTTAATGTCCCCCAAGAAGGCAGAATCACCCCCGTTGAGAATTGCCGCATTAGGGTCAGCACTTTCTGTCGTGGCATAAAAGCCGGCGTCCTCGATGCCCCAGTGCAGTTTGACACTGGGAACAACCATTGTACCCGGTTCTTCATGGGTGGTACCCCCAGTCCACCTGTCCCTACCCCCGGCCCCCAGGATCCCCTCACCCTGTACTCCTGAGCACCCGGCCAAAGTCAGCTTCCTCCTCAGCCCCATGGCTGCTTGGTGCCAGCTGTTTACACTCCTTATCCCTGCCCCTGCCTGCCGGGAGAGGAGAGGAGAGGCCGTTCTGGGTGAGCTGACGGGTGTCCCCTGGGCTTGCTTTCCAGGATGGCACAGTGTTTGATGGCCGCCCGATAGAGTCCCTGTCCCTGATTGATGCTGTGATGCCCGACGTGGTGCAGACACGGCAGCAGGCGTTCCGGGAGAAGCTCGCCCAGCAGCAAGCCAGTGCGGCTGCCACAGCGGCGGCGGCGGCGACGGCAGCAACAGCAACGACGACAGCAGCCACGACAACCCAAGCAACTGTTTCCCAGCAAAATCCACCAAAGAACGGAGAGGCCACGGTGAACGGGGAGGAGAACGGAGCGCATGCAATAAGTGAGTGCCCCGCTCTGGCGGTTCTCTGGGTGTCTGGGGTTTATTGTGTTCTTTTGACTCTGGGCAAATCCTAAAAACTGCCTAAAAAATCTACTACCACTGTAGATTTCCTACCAACTGCTGTCTAGTTTTCGCTTACTGCCTGGCCGGAAGAGCTTCAGGTTCCATTTGTTTTATCAAAGCCCTCACACCTGTTATTCTTCACTCACACATCCTCAATTTGAGGAAAGCCTGGCCTGCTGCTAACCTGAGAGTTCCAGTACAACAAGAAGTGCCAGATGATTATTGTGCAACATAAACAGAAGCGTTTCATTCGTGGAAACCTTTAGTCCCAGCTTCCCAGTCCATGTTGAGATTTTCCGACCAAGTTACGGTAGAACAGTCGAGCTCTGTTGCTGTGAGGGCAGCGGGCCCGGACGTGTGGGGCATGAGGTTACGTGGTCTTTGCAAAACCCCAGGAGGTCAGTCCCCATTAGCTAATTGCCTAAGAGCGTGTGACAGATAAGTCAGAAAGCCCGAGTTTGCACCCGGAGAACCCACCTCCACTTCGACACACACTGCTTTGTAAAGTCACGGGCTCTGTTGCAGCATCTGAGTTCATGGTGTGCACATGTGCCTACGTGTGGTGTGTGTGCGTGTATATTCTTCCTTTCTTGAAAGCCATTTCCCTCGTGCAGCCCAGCAGTCCTTGAAGCTCGAGCTATGATATGGGCGTCCCACCCTGTAGGTCCCGGCCCCAGAGCCTCCTCCTGTGCAGGGGGCCGGCTGGGCCACCTGTGACGCCACTGCAGCCCACAACCAAGCCCTGTGGCAAGTCAAAGGCACCAGCAAAGGAATTCTTGACATCTCTCTTGGGCTCAAGAAGCAGATCTAGCATTTAATGGCAAGCCCAGCAGACTGTACGACTGTTTCCGTTACAACAGGCGACCTGCAGGCCATCTGGCTTGCACAATGCACAGCCGTCCCCCCACAGGCTCCATGGTCTCCAAGGATGAGGCCGAGGCTTAGGCAGGGAAGGAAGAATAAGAAAACACCTGGCTTGTCCTGAAGAGCATTTGTCAACTGTCCAGCGACATAGAATGCTACCTCAAATTCTGAAGCATAAAGAATGTGGGTATAGGTGGTTTCGTAATCTTACATCACAGAAAGTAATTTGTGATTGGTGAACTTCAAGAGATCGGTGTCTGCCAAGGAAGAAATTTGCCAACGTTTAAATTGTGCCACCAGTTTCCTGAAATCTCCAGCAACTCTAACGTGGGGTCCGTGTGGGCCCCCTGTGTGGATGGAGTGGAGACAACAGCATGACTTTCCCACGCTGGATTCCGTTAGGGAAGCGTGGGCAGGTCAGTCTTCATACTCAGAGGGACGTCACCTGTGGGTCGCCACCACCACCCCTCCGCAGCCGCCGTCCTGCGGTCAGGCCTGGCTCTGGGCTCTGTGCGACCTGCAGTCTGCCCTCTCTCATGCTCCCGGTGAGCGCCCGCCTGACCACAGGGCAGCCTGTCCCCACCCACCTGTTGCGTGTGTGTCCAAACAGGCTGAGGCCACACCTGAAGTCAGATTTCATTCCAACCTTCCAGAACTTTTCTTCTGCCACTTGGGAGGGACGCGATCACTTTCCAGGCTGTTTGTCCTTTTTTTTGATATGTGAGTGGAGGGGGAGAGATGAAGAGTGAAAGAGGAAGAATCGGGAATGGCTCCTAGGTTTTCGGCGTAAGCAACTGGGTGAATAATGGTGCCATTGAAAGAGATGGTGGGGATATGGGGAAGAAAATGCTGGCTGGACAGAGGATGGGATGAGTGAATAGATGTCATAACTGTGACACTAGGAGTGCTAAGTTTGAACATTTTCTTACCTCTAAAAAAGCAGATGCTGAGTAGACTGTTGGAGTTGCCAATATGGGGCTTAGGAAGGGGATCTGGGCTGGAGATAGGAATATAGCCTCTATTTGAAGCCAGGAGATATGATGAGATCTCCAGGGGGAGGGGTAGACACAGAATAGGGACAAGGACAGAACCTGTGGATACACCAGCATTTAGAAGTCAGACAGGAAAAGAGGAGTCAGAAGAGGGGATAGAAAAGTAATCACTACTGAGGTGATAGAAGGCAATTATGATATTAAGGGAGTCGAGAGAGTCGAGTATTTCAGAAGGAAAGTATGTGCTCAGCCATGTCCACTGAGGACGAGCTGCTGAGAGTCTAGTAAGGCGAGGACTGAGAATTGAATATTGGGAGGCTGTTTGTCTTGAGGGTGGCATTTAGCATGGCTTGTCTCCACTGTCAGTGACCTACCCAGGAACCGAGAGCCAGGGCCGTGTGGCTCTGCCAGGGCAGGCGTGGTCGCCTAGAAGCCCTGGCGGTTCTGCTCCGATTGCAGAGCCCGACACGTGGGCAATAACACCCAGAGGAAGGCAGCACTGGAGCCCCAAGCGCTCGGGGGCACTTGCAGGCGTGGCCTTTCTAAAAGAATGACAGTGCTTACCCGTGGGAACCTCCCAGATGCAGAGGTGAGACCATAGGCAGGTGGTCCCCAGGAAAACATTTGTCTCGTCGTGAGAACAGGAACCTTAGGGCTGGTCCCTGTCACATGCGACCGCCGACTCACCTGATGCCCTGTAGATGAGGAGTCTGATGCCTGTAGATGAGGTGGCCTCCGCAGAGGGTGCTGTCCGTGATAAGAATACAGAAGGAAAGCAGGGGTCGGGTCACTCAGCAGGTGTCCTGAGCTTTCGCTCCAACAGCACATGCAAGAGGACCTCGGGGACGCTCCGTACCAGGGGAAAACAAGCGTTAGATATTTTTTTTTATTTTTTAGCAGCCAAGCCGGTCTATAGTAAAGATTGCTCAGACCTGGTGTACCTCGGTGAAGTAACTCCCATGTCACCTAAAAGGCCACCTAAAACCAGAGCAGACACAAAAGAGGCCCTGTCCCAGGACCCGCAGTCAAAACTCGCTTTGCCAAGAAATGCACGTGCCCCGTACCCCATCGTGAGCCTGAGCTGGTCGCTGGGGCCTGGTCCGAGGTTGGCGCCTTACCGCCCCCCTCCCTGGCCTGTGTCCCTGGAGGCTAGCTCCCTGCCGTGGCCATGGCCACTCTAGGCTTTGCCTGTCCACTTCTGCCCACAGCGGGTCTGCGCGCCGAGCCCTGCCCTGCGCGCACGCCACCTCCTCACCTGTGCACCCTGGCTGGACACTCTTGGGCCTGGGGCAGCCACCCCGACCCCCTTCTCAGCCCCTCGTGCCTGACAAGATGAGTGCGGCAAGGCTGCGAGGTGATGCGCGTGTGCACGCTGCCTCCAGGCCTCCTGGGAGACGCGAGGCCCCACCGCTGTGTGGCCAGCTGGGACACCTGCCCACCTCTGCCGCTGCCAAGGACGAGTCTGACAAACGTGGAAATACATTTTTCTTCTTTCCCAATGCCTCAGCCAGCCAGATGAGACCTTCATAAGTGTAAAATGCCAGCTTTGAAGAGTCCCATTGTCAGGACTTGAATATTTTGTATCAGCTTTGTTGATCCAAGCAGGACCTCCAGGCAGTTTTGTGTTGTTTTTACATGTTGAGACAGAAGCAGTGCAGCCTCGGCTTACCTGTCATGGAGTAAGAAGTGAATCCTCTTCCTCCCAGGGCTTCCACCAAAACACCTATATGAAAGAGACGTGGTAAAGTGCATGCAGATCTCCACTGTGCTGTGAAACTGTCGTTTGAGCAGACAGTACATCGCCCTCTCTCATCGGTGGGAAGCAGGGGCTGGTAAACTCTCTAAAGGGACAGTGACTATCTCAGCTGCGAGGGTCACGCAGTCTCTCGCCTCTGCTCAGCCGTGCCACTGCCCTGCAATGCGCCTGTGCGCGTCTGCTCGGGCCGCCGTAGCAGAACACACAGACGCCGCAGCATAACATCGGAATTTGCTCTCACAGCCTGCAGGCTGCAAGTCCTAGGTCAAGGGCTGGTTCCTCCTGCAGCCTCTCTCCTGGGCATGTAGATGCCGTCTTCTCGCTGTGTCCTCACATGGTCGTCCCTCTGTGCCTGTCTGTGTCCTTATCTCCTCTTCTTGTAAGGACATCCATCAGTCCTGTTGGATTAGGGCCCACCCTAGTGACCTCAGTTTACCTTAGTCACCTCTTTAAACACCCAATTTCCAAATACAGTCACATCCTGGGGACGTGGGGATCAGGACTTCAGCATGACTTTTGAGAGGAACACAATTCAGCCCGTGATAGCAGCTGAGGCAGTGGGGGCCCCGGGCTGGCCGTGCCCCAAACTCTGTTGTGCAGCTGGGCGGCCGAGGACAGGCTTGGTCCACAGGCCGTAGTTGGTTGGCCCCAGTTATAAAGAATAAACGTTTTTATTTCTCAATCAAATTTAGAGACTGTCCAAATATAAAGTATTCACTAAATCACACAAAATCCATGATTTTGTTATAATAATCATCAGAGGCAGTATTTCTTAGTGCATAAAAGCAAGGTTTTTCTAAAAGAAAAGTGCTCTGAAAATGCGTTCCTCTCATATCGGTGAGCCACTTGTCTTTTCCTGTTTCCTGCGACAGATAATCACTCAAAACCAATGGAAATAGACGGGGACGTTGAGATTCCACCCAACAAAGCCACAGTCCTTCGGGGCCATGAGTCCGAGGTGTTCATTTGTGCCTGGAACCCTGTCAGCGATCTGCTGGCTTCTGGGTAAGGATGTCGGGACGTGTGCTGCCCTGGGGCCCTGCCGTGTGCAGGCCCAGGAGTGGCAGGTCTGTGCTGTGCTGCCCCGTGTGCCTTGCACCATGGGGCAGCCGTCTTCTCTGTGGGGCAGGGAGCAATGGGAAGACATTAAAGATTACTAAGCACAGAGGCGGTGCTGAGGACGGGGGACACAGGGACCGAGAGGCATGGCAAAGACTCTGCTGTTTTTTCAATCTGCAGATCCGGTGATTCCACAGCAAGGATATGGAACCTCAATGAGAACAGCAATGGGGGCTCCACACAGCTCGTGCTGAGGCACTGCATCCGGGAAGGGGGCCACGATGTCCCCAGCAACAAAGACGTCACCTCGCTGGACTGGAACGTAAGCATCCATCCCGGCACTTGGCAGCAGGAGTGTCCCAGCCCGCAGGGGGCCTGGCCGCGGGGCCGTCCCTGTCTAAGAGCTCTGACCGAGGCCGTGTAGGGCAGACCACGAGCTGGGAGTCCGTGGCCGTGTCTTTCCGTCGTGAGCGTGCCTTTGCAAGACGAGCGCGGTGGCGCCTCGAAGGGAGCCTCCCGGTGGCAGCTGGCCGAGGAGAGGGTGGCCCAGGGACATGCCTTTCCACCGTGATGCTCAGCGCCACGTGTGCATGGATTGACTCGGGGGACACCCGCAGCTCATCCTTTTACTCTCTGCAAAGCCTTAGGGTAGCTTTCTGTGTAGTGTTTTCAATTCTGTCACTAATGAGAGAACACACACGGTGAGCGGCTCCCCTGCGTTCTTGTGGCTGCCTCGTGTTTAGTCTGATGGCCATGCATGCTGCGTCATGTTGTCGGGGTGACAGACCAGTCTCTTAGATTCACTTGAGAACATTCCAGGCTTGGGATCCAGGGAGAGAGGCTCACGGGGCTTTTCCGGTGCTGCCAACACTAAGGTACTTTTGTGGGTTTGTGTCTTTTTCTGGCCCTCAGAGCGATGGAACGCTGTTGGCTACAGGTTCATACGATGGTTTTGCAAGAATATGGACAGAAGACGGTAAGTCCTGGGTGAGAGGTACTTCCGTGTGTAACCTTTGAGTGAACAGAGCACAGCTTTGAAGTCAACACATTTGTTCAATTTTTTGTTTTTACTAACAGGTAACCTGGCCAGCACCTTAGGCCAACACAAAGGCCCCATCTTTGCCTTGAAATGGAACAAAAAGGGGAATTACATTTTGAGTGCTGGTGTAGACAAAGTGAGTATTCGCTCAAAGTACCTCCCTTTGATCTACAAATGCTTATTTATTTTTAATCTGAAAATAACATTGTGATTCCTTTGAATTCCTCTGCTTTCTGCTGCCCCGTAAGAAACCAAAAGAACTTGTTTAGGTTTTGTTTGTTTTTGTGGTTTTGATCTAACTGTTAATTTATAACACATCATCTCTTAATATATTCTGCCGTGCTGCAGGCCTTTGTGCAGAGCTTCCTCTTTTTCTTTGAGGCACACAGTTCAGTGATGGAAAGAGGAAAGTCTCCAGCTTGTGTTTGTCAATTGCTGGAAGGAGCAGGTGGTATAGGGTGTGCCCTGCATAGACTTTCACCTACTCAGGGACATTAGTGGCACAAACTGTCTTCTGTCCCACAGGCTTCTGCTCTCATTTGATAAACTGCTGCTTCCCACTGCAGACTGCAAGAAGTGTTTTCCAGAATTATAAAAAACCAAACAGGTGTTTTCATATCAGTTTGTGTTCTACAAATGGAAACCATGCCTGAATACTAGATGGTACTTGGGCCTCCATAGGGCTTTGCGTTTTACCATCATTTCAGGATAATTTGAAAACCTTATTAAATCACAGCTTACTGTTCGTTCAGGTTCTAAAAATCAATGTAAAATGGTAGGCTTGATCTATAAATGTAGTCACTCTTGGAGAAGTCATAGTCGCATTTGGCAAACTGTGGCCCACACTGATCGAGTCTGGCCCCTCGCTGGTTTATTTAAATAAAGTTTTATTGGCACACAACCACACCCATTTGTTGAGAATTATCCATGGCTGCTTTCACAATACAATGGTGGAGTTGAGCAGCTGCAACAAAGACTATATGGCTCCCAAAGCCTAAAATATTTACTGTCTGGCCATTAACAGAAAAAGTTCACTGCACTAGGGTATAACTCTCAAAGTCAATGAATCCTTCATTCTTTATCTCCTCTCTCTTTAAGCCAGGAAACCCCTCATTCAGACTTGGTACCCTAATACATAATATTAAAGCTGAGCTGCTGTGGTTGACACACATTAAATGTTCTCATGTAACTACCATCAAATTTTTACCAAGATGTTCTAATTAAGCAATACACAGCACTTGTTATGCATTCAGTAGGCCACCAGTAACTGCTGGTTGAATTATTAAAATAGTTCAAATGATAGCACTTTTATTTATCAGGCACTGGACTGCCACCTGTGTTAGCCCACCTGATACTCCCAAGGTAGGAGGCAGGCGTTTGTGTGATCGCTCCCATGTGACAGAGGAGGAGCTGGAGCCCCCAGAGAGGTTGTTAATTTGCCTAGGGGCACACAGAGTGGAGGTGGGGTGGCAGCTCAGGCCCTGGGGCACCAGTAACTGCTGCCCTTTGACTTCCGTAGAATTCCAAAGAGTTGTTCTCTGGCCTCCTTCCTACCTGGAGACTTTTTTTATTTTTTTTTTTTTAATTTAAATTTAATATTTTCTTGTGTGTGTTTTTTTTTTCTTTTTTTTTCTTCTATGCTATTGCCCGTGATCAAATGGAGACTCTTTTTAACATTCATTTGTGGTGTTCTCCCTGATTATGAATCCTAGCTCTGTAAGGTGAACTGTATGACCAGTGAAATGCATGTTTGGAATTACAGGTGTCTTTCGGGCCATGTGCTGTCCACCATTATGACGTAGTCAACCATGGCAGGAATGATAACACCTTGTATGTGACACCCAGAGAGAAAGTGTAATTTGCAGGATGCTGGAGTGGACCTGCCGTGAATGCTTATTTACCCAGAGTGACTAGTTTATGTGCCAAATTCTTCAGAACTTTTCTATAGTGTTTTTTTGTAACGTATATTTAACACAAACATCAACTGAATAATCTAGTTACTGATGTGGCATGTGAGATTGCATCAGAGAATTCTGGAAGAGATTACAGATTCTCTGCAGTGCCGGACTTGTTTTGGGGGGACTAAATTAAGAACTGTTCTACCCCAACAAACAAACATTAATTGGGCTAGAGCAGACCCAAAACCCCGGAGTACCATGTTTCAGAGACACTCCCTGCTCTGAGTGTTGCCTCTGAAAGTTTCCACAATCAACACAAAATATAACTAGTTCTTTTTAAAGCAAAATCTTTATTAAGCGATATTGACAGGGAGATGTAAAGTTTCCAGTGAAGTTGAAAATTCCAGTTCAAGACTTAATTCCAGTGTCATCACTGAGCTACCTTTGACTGCCCTGTGTGCATCTCCCAGCGTTAGTGAGTTCATGAGAACTCAGGACTCATCTGTTTCCCAGACAGAGGTGGCCTTTCTCCATGGAGTGCCCCCCCCCCCATGTAATCCCATGGCTGCGCTGGGACACAGCCCCCAGTTCATGGAGTCACAGGCAGAGGAATTTTCAGAAATGCCTATTCCTACAGCCCTTCGTTTGGAAAAATGCCCAAAAAGAGGTGTAGATGTGCTTTCTTACATGTATTTTAGCGGTTTTCTATGTTTGAGGATGAAAGGGAATCCCCATCGATTGTGGTAGTTTTCCCACATACTAGTTAAGGCGGCCCTGTCCTTCCACAAGCCATTGGCCCGCTTGGCCCCCTGACGTTCTGTGTAAGACACACTTCCACGCTGGGCTGCAGAGAGCTACGGGGTGGGAGGAGAGAAAATGCCCAGTGCTGCAGTGAGATTCTGCTACTGATACATGATGAGATATTTTAGCTATGTTGGAGGAGCGAAATAAGATATATTCTTAATGAATTTCATCAGTTTCTTTTTCCCTTTCAATGTAGATACTAGAAAATTACAAATAGCCCACGTAGCTCACACTGTTGGGCAGCGCTGGCTTGCAAGGAGAGGGGCTCACTCTGTCGCTTCTTGCACAAGATGTTTTTCTAGAGAAAACTTGGCGAGAATGGTCACTAACTTTTTCCTTTGTTTGCGGAGCACAGACAACAATAATTTGGGACGCTCACACAGGAGAGGCCAAACAACAGTTCCCTTTTCATTCAGGTGAGTTGTTTTGTTTATAAATTCAGCAATCATAATTCAGAATTAAATGAAATGCGCTTTGAGGTAATTGTAAGTGCGTGGATTGGGGGGGTGGGAGGAGTCACGGAACTGAGCTGGTAGGAAGGGAACCCATTTCTTGTTGTCTCTGCAAATATGGAAGGAGACGGTCTGTAAGGTCTTTGAAGGAAAGGGAGTGAGTTCACACTGGGAATGTTTTTTATCAAGAAGCCAAGCAGGGCTTCTTGCCTGTGCGCTTTGTTGCTCTAACTCTGCAGAGGTCTGTGCACGATGAATAACCACAGATGTCCCTTCTGTCCCTGCCCCGCAGCGCCCGCTCTTGACGTGGACTGGCAGAACAACACTACCTTCGCCTCCTGTAGCACGGACATGTGCATTCATGTCTGCCGGCTCGGCTGCGACCGCCCAGTCAAAACCTTCCAAGGACACACGGTAAGGGGGAGTTCCGGTCCCCAGACTCGAGTTCCTGAGAGCGTGACGTGAGCACTGTTTCTCCCGTTCCTGGATTAAAAGATATTGTGACGGCAGACCAGTTCCCCTGCAGCCCTTTGCTGCTAGAGCCGGGGTGGCTGGCCCTGGCGGTTGCATCAGCCCAGTTGTGGGCAGGCAGTGAGAACAGCTGACCCTAACTGACCTCAGAGGTGGATGTTACAGCAGAGACGCTAAAGCAGCTATGAGAGACATGTACGGGACGTAGGCAAAGGCGCTCACAGTAAGTGCGTGGGGGGGAGCATCGGTCAGCAGGGAATGGAAAGCTGAGTCTTTAAAAACAAATGGAAATTTGAGGTTGGGCACAGTGGCTCACCCCTGTAATCCTAGCACCCTGGGGGGCTGAGGCGGGTAGATCATTTGAGCTCAGGAGTTCAAGACCAGCCTGAGCAAGAGCGAGACCCCGTCTCTACTAAAAATAGAAAGAAATTAGCTGAACAACTAAAAATAATAGAACAAAAAAATTAGCCGGGTATGGTGGCACATGCCTGTAGTCCCAGCTACTCGGGAGGCTGAGGCAGGAGGATTGCTTGAGCCCAAAATTTTGAGGTTGCTGTGAGCTAGGCTGACACCACAGCACTCTAGCCTGGGCAACAGAGCAAGACTCTGTCTCAAAAAAAAAAAAAAAATTAAAATTAAAAAAATAAAAACAAATGGAAATTTGAAAGCTGAGAAAATATAGTGTTTAAAATGATAATTTAATAGATGGGTTTGACAGCAGATTGGAGATGGCAAAAGTAAGGTTAGTGAAGCCAATGGGGAGATCCTAGAAATTGGCAAATTTGAAGAATAGGTGGAGGATTGGAAATGTGCACAGAGGCTACGGAACAGTGTCAGGCACTGTAAGCGTACGTGTGTAATGGGACAAGAAGGAAGAGACTGGAACAGAAAATTCTGTGAAGCAATAATGGCCAAGTTTGCCAAAATTTGGTGGAAAACATCAGCATTTAATCCAAGAAGTTCATCACATCCTAAGCAGAACAAGTGTGTAGAGAACCACACCTAACACCTAGGAGTGTGCTCAGCGGACGCTGAAATTGATAAGAGAAAATCACAGGCGCAACCAGAGGCTGAAAAGTGTCACATTGTACATACACCAGGGACAACAGTGTGAGCAACAGCTGACTTGGATTCCTCAGCGTGGCACGTGAGACTTCCCAGTCTGTCCCCAGGTCGCTCTGGTCTCCAAAGCCCACAGTGCTCGGGTCCCCGAGATCAGTGTGTCTGAGCCCCTCACCCTCGCTGAGCCCCGCCAGGAACTCGCCCCGCCTTAGACTCACAGCACCCCTCGGCCTGGCACGGGGTCCTCCCGTCTTCCCAAGCCCCTGCCGTCCTCTGGGCTCCGGGCCCCAGGTGAAGCCCCACACCAGGCTGGCCGTGGCCAGGCAGCTGCCTCCCGCAGCAGACGCGGAGCGCGTGAGCCGCAGGCCCAGGGCTTGTGCTGCTTTCTCTCCAGCACCCAGAGTATCATTCCGAGTTCGGGGCCCCTGTTACAGTGGCGGTGGGTGATCAGGGTCCCTGGAGAGCTGCCATCGTGCCTCTAACTGATGGAAATCCTCGTCCTGCCTGTTCTTCTCCCCAGTGCGCACCTCACCCCGCTCCTGGCCCAGGGTCCCCACTTCCAAAGGGGTGCTGTTAGAGCACAGGCATGCATCGCCTGTGAACATCTCCTGGCTATAAAAGACCCTCTCTTTGTTTCTCTGGTCTCAACATGCTTCCCCGTAACCCTAGACAATAGGCAAGATTTCACTCGGGCGACCCGCAGTCCGTGGTTTCCCGCTTCCCTGCTGAGGATATGGCCCCCGGCACACCCTGGGCTCTTTAAGGGGGTCTCACTGTGCCTGATCCCAAACAAGCTCCAGCCGGGCGCGCTGGAGCGGAGACCCAGGAGCTGGTTCCACATGGCGCCTAGAAATCTTGGCTTGGATTGGGGGTGGGGGTCCATTCCCAGACAGGAATGTGTTCCTTTCTGAAGGATGAGAGCTGGGCTCGGCTGGGGACTGGCATGGTGACTGGCTCCACATTCCCTAAGAGACCTGCCTGTGGGTCCTCTCAGCAGCTGCGGTCAGGCCACCCGACCTGCTCTTACACACGCAGGCACACGCTCTCACACACACCCTTCTCCAACCTGCTTCCCTGTGCCCTCCACTCGCACACGCCACAGCCTGCCCCTTGGACTCGGCTTCCTTCCTCCCTGTCCTGGGCCATGCACCACCTGGAACACAGATGTGGCCTTGTCACTTCCCTGCTTCACACCCTTCAAAACTCAGTGTCCTCAGAAAGCAGCATGATCAGGTAATTTATCATCCAAACCAAAGCACTTAGGAGTGTGGAATTGTTCAGGTGATTAATTACGAGTGTGACATTAGTTAATTGCTGTGCCGGGACAGCAGGCATCGTATAGCGGGGCTGCACTGGGCAGATGGGGCCCCACAGACACACCACCAGAGAGCGCCTTGCTGGTGCACCGTGTCCCACCTCAAGACAAGACCCTGCCAGGCGGTCCCTGTCTGAATTCGCGTCTCCTGTGTGTCCCCTTCTTTCTCTTGGCTGTTCGGGCTGGATTTCGGGTCCCCAGTGGGGATTTTGCGACTCCTGTGTGTGTTCTTGACGCTCGTCACTTGCGTCTGACTCCCTCGCACCTGTGTCTGCCTGTGTGCACGTGCCTGGCACCGTCTTCCACCTGGGCCAGCCCTTGCCCTGTGTGGAACTGCATGGAGTGCGGAGCTTCGTCCCCAAGATCACCCTCCCCCGCCCCCCCCCCCAAGGAAGAAGTGCCTTGCAGCCATGGAGACAGAACGAGTAGCTGTCATATTAAAAATGCATGGGAAAGTGATTTTCAAAGTCCATTTTTTTTTTATTTAAAAAATTTTTTTCCAGTTTCCAAAAATAACCATTGGTTTTATTTGCTGTGTTTTATTGTATGTAAATTTTCTTCATGTGGCTTCATCTTGGTAGGGATTTTTTTTTTCCTTAGAGAAATGTGGATGACGGTGGCTGGTTACGTGTGGTGCATGGCTGTGGTTTTATATAAATGCAAAAGGCCAAGTGAGAAAAGAAAAATGCACAGGCTCCCGCATTGTATCTGACATCCGGGCACAGCCATAGAGGCCATGGCCCAGGCAGCACGCTCCTGCCCCCTGGTGGAAGGCGGCGGCACCTCGGGCAGCCCTGATGTCTGTGTCAAACCCTGTCTCTCTTGCAGAACGAGGTCAACGCCATCAAGTGGGATCCCTCTGGAATGCTGCTGGCGTCCTGCTCTGATGACATGACATTGAAGGTGATGTCTGCAGGGGCAGGCCCTTTCCTCCCTGACAGCCCTGGTGTCTTTGGGGGTTGTGTGTTACTGGGCACGTTCCCTTTTGCTGTCATTCTGGGAGCTCCTGTTTCTCAGTCAGGGTCCTGCTGAGATGTCCTAGTCTCCCGTGGCCCTGCTCCCCGGCGTCCCCGAGCCCGCCTGCAGCCAATGGGCCAGCCCCCTTCTGAACGACGCTGAATCGTTCCCAGGGAGGGGACAGCATTTGCTCACGTGGTTCCCGATGTGTTCTCTAGATCTGGAGCATGAAGCAGGACACGTGTGTCCATGATCTTCAAGCTCACAACAAGGAGATCTACACCATCAAGTGGAGCCCCACCGGGCCGGCCACCAGCAACCCCAACTCCAACATCATGCTGGCGAGGTGAGGGGAGGCGGCCGCACAGCCCGGGCTCGGGGCCTCAAGTGGCCTTGCTCGCCACGGCCGAGTTAGCCACACGGCCAGTGAAACTCGCTCGCACACAGACGGGTCAGGCAATGTTGCCAAAGTATGTTGCCGGTGTACTGAGGTCCTTCCAAGCTAAACGAGGTGGCAGCTCGCTCTGAAGGGGCCGAGATAGAATTATCAGGTGACACCTGACCTCAAGGCAAGGATCGTTGTGACCGTGAGGCTGGTAGGAGAGATGTGTTCTGTGTCCAGGCTTTGAGCACTTGGCTTCGGTGAGGGTTTTTGTCCAGACACAGAAGGGAAGCTGGAAGAGTTCAGCTTGGCGCTTGGGCTACGTTTTCTTGGCTTGACCCAGAGATGCCAGCATGGGGACTTTCCAGTGGAGATAAAAGATTCCCGGGCCCTGGCCGGGTCTGACCAGACCGTCGGGACTCCCCGACGACACCCACGTGGGGAGCGGGGGTGGAGTGGCCAGTCAGCCGCGTGCCAGAGTACGAGACTGTGAGACTGAGTGCCACCATACCGGGCGTCTGCAGTCCATCACGTGGATCCAAGGGCTTTGGGTCCATGAAACACGGGTGTTCTCTGGCCTAGAAAAGACAAGGGATGTTTGGCGACCAGGAGGCAGCACGGACTTGCCTCTGCGTAGTTCAGAGAGGAGGGTGGTGGGGAGAAGTGACGGTGGGCACGGCCCTGCTGCGGAGAAGGAAGCACCCACCCCTTCTGCACGCCCCAGCCGGGCAGGGAGGACTCTTGTAGACAGTGCTGGACCCAAGTCCATCTCTTAGAAAAGAGGACATAATTCCTGCATCAACTGAGTGGTTGAACCAAGGAACAAAGAACACAGAGGCCATAGCTCTTGTATTTCCAGTCCCAAAATCCAATCATGTCGTCATGATATAGTGCTACACGCTATAATCATTTGTTAGTGACTTGGAAGGTACTTTTGTGTCATGTGGTACCCATCAGGAGCATAAATTATCCTTTTTTCGAGTATAGACAGGACATACCAGTGCCTAGCGGGGCCTTGCTGCGGGAGAGCAAACCAGATAACAAGGCTGGCGCAGTGGCTCCCGCCTACAATCCCAGGACTTTGGGAGGCCAAGGCGGGAGGATCACTTGAGGCGAGGTGTTGGAGACCAGCCTCAGCAGTGTAGCGAGACTCCATCTCTATAAAAAATAAAATTAGCCAGGCATAGTGGGGAATACCTCTAATCCCAGCTGCTCAGGAGGCTGAGGCAGGAGGATCGCTGAGCCCGGGAGTTGGAGGCTACAGTGAGCTGTGATCCTGCCACTACACGCCAGCCTGGGCAACAGAGTGAGACCCTGTCTCTAAAAAATTTATTGACTAAAAGTAGTTTTTAGGCCGGGCGTGGTGGCTCACGCCTGTAATCCTAGCACTTTGGGAGGCCGAGGCGGGCGGATTGCTCAAGGTCAGGAGTTCGAAACCAGCCTGAGCGAGACCCCGTCTCTACCAAAAATAGAAATAAATTAATTGACCAACTAAAAATATACATACAAAAAATTAGCCGGGCATGGTGGCACATGCCTGTAGTCCCAGCTACTCGGGAGGCTGAGGCAGTAGGATCGCTGAGCCCCGGAGATTGAGGTTGCTGTGAGCCAGGCTAATGCCACGGCACTCACTCTAGCCTGGGCAACAAAGTGAGACTCTGTCTCAAAAACAAAACAAAACAAAACAAAAAAACAAAAAATAAAAGTAGTTTTTAAAAAGGAAGCTAGATAACAGTTTTATGATGTGTGCTATTCTTTTAAATTTGAAAATAATTAAAGTCTGTAGCTCTTGGCAATGTAATCACATATGTAGATGTGATTGTATTTAATTTCCCGTTGGATTAAAATGTTTTTAAATGTTTATTCACTCAGTTTGCTGTTTTTCCCAATAGCGCTATCTGCTTAATTTAGTTAGCAATAGTAAATGTTGTGTTTTAAATTGTAGCAGTTTTAGAGAAATCGATATTCTACAATACTTACCTTTCATATCTATAGGAAACAGAAACAAATGTGGATATCACGTTTCCCTAGTAATGACACAAAAATTGTTTTTTGCTATTTAATGACTGTGGGTTTGTTTTCAGTACATCTGAGTTACACTGTAGAAGAGCAAAGGCTCGCTAGTTTATTGTCTTTCAGAACATAAACACTGAGAAAGCCGACCCGTCCCAGGTCGACAGGCACCGCGGAGACACGCGAACGCCGGCGTGTTGACGTGGCTGTGTTTTCTCCCTGTCCTCGCAGCGCTTCCTTCGACTCCACGGTGCGGCTGTGGGACGTGGAGCGAGGCGTCTGCATCCACACGCTCACCAAACATCAGGAGCCTGTGTACAGTGTAGCTTTCAGCCCTGACGGCAAGTACCTGGCCAGCGGCTCCTTCGACAAGTGTGTCCACATCTGGAACACTCAGGTAATGCCCGGCCCTGCAGCCGACCCTTGCCCAGAGCAGTGTGCGAGCAGTCACGTTTACGGGGCCCGTCAGGCCGTGCCCAGGGCTGGGTGGAGCACCCCTGCGAGCACTTTCCTCCAGGTGCCCGGGGCCAGGTGGAGCACCCCCGGGAGCACTCTCCTCCAGGCGCCCGGGGCCGGGTAGAGCACCCCCGGGAGCACTCTCCTCCAGGTGCCCGGGGCCGGGTGGAGCACCCCTGGGAGCACTCTCCAGGTGCCCGGGGCCGGGTGGAGCACCCCCAGGAGCACTCTCCTCCAGGCTCCCCAGGCCGGGTGGAGCACACCCGGGAGCACTCTCCTCCAGGTGCCTGGGGCCGGGTGGAGCACCCCTGGGAGCACTCTTCTCCACGCGCCCGGGGCCCGGGTAGAGCACCCCCAGGAGCACTCTCCAGGCGCCCAGGGCCAGGTGGAGCACCCCTAGGAGCACTCTCCAGGCGCCCGGAGCCGGGTAGAGCACCCCCGGGAGCACTCTCCTCCAGGCACCCCGGGCCAGGCCAGCTGCTGCCTGTGACCCACACCGGCTCCCGCAACCCCGCCAGGGAACACCCTGGGGAATTCCAAAGGATGTGTGTTTGCTGTTGTCACAACCCCTGAGACTTTCTGAATGAGAATGTTTTGTGTTTTAGTAGCACAGGGTGTGTCAACATTGGGTTGTCTTCTTACCACGGACTAAAAGGAGACAGGATGTGAGTACACGTGACTCCTGTGGCCGTACCTGAGGACAGGAGCATTCCGGATGGAAAGGGTGGAACTAGTGCTGTGCCGTGTTCAGGGGCGGCCAGCTCTTCATTCTCATTCTAACGGGGGAGAGGAGTGAGGCGGTGGTGGGAGTCACGGAAAATAACCAAGGATCCGGTTGGTTGGGTCCCAGGATGGATCAGATGTCTCCCCACCACCCACTTTAATCTGATCCACTGTCTCCAGTCCTTTTGGCTTCACTGACATGGAGGTGGCTTTGCACTCTCAAGTTCACGCCCCTTGTGGCAGGAGGAGGTGGTAGATAAGCCGTGTGCACTGGCTGGGGGTCCACTGAGATCACGGGCTTCCCAGGAACGTGCCTCACGTGAACCACGTCCTGTCAGGGGAGGGAAGGAAATGGTGGACCCTACATAGAACCAGCCTGATGCCAGGCCCAGCGCCACAGCCCTAGATGGGCCTTCCGGGAAACATGCATCTCAGGGCTCATGTGCCAAGGTCTCTACTCATGGAGTGCTTACTACAAATAGTGACGGATGCATTTGTGAAGTGGCATCATCAAAAAATGACATGATCGGGCTGGACATGGTCACTCACACCTGTAACCCCAGCACTGTGGAAGGCCCAGTAGGGAGGATCCCTTGAGCCTAGGAGTTTGAGACTAGCCTGGGCAACATAGTGAAACCCCATCTCCACAAAAAAATAAAAATCAGCCAGCTGTGGTAGCATACCTGCAGTCTCAGCTGCTCCGGAGGCTGAGGCAGGAGGATAGTTTGAGGCTGCATGTGATTGCGCCACTGCATCCCAGCCTGGGCAACAGCGAGACTCCATCTCTGAAAAAAAAAAAAGTGCCGTATCAAGTAGATACTGCCTGCCATCAAGAACTCATTGAATCATTTCAACCATTTTTTGTAAATCTGAAAAATTCTTAAGCTTACTTTAATCCTAAGTATGAAAATAAAATACAGAATACTGTTGACTTGGTCTCTCCCAGTCCACAGAACGCCACCCTTTAAAGGGTCTGTTTGAGCCAAGGTTTTGTAAGAACTCTCCTGGTCTCGACCTTCCGATTTCCGTGCATCCTGAGTGAAGGTTTATTGGGTGCTCCCACAGCCTCTCCTTGCCTCCTCTCTTGCATTTGTCACATTAGTGCTGTTTTGAACCAGAAGCTAGTGGTCTGTGGTGTTTTCCATTGCACGTTCGTTATGCATTTGTTCTTTCAAGCTAATTGTCCGAAAAATGTTTGGGTTTTAACTTCATGACATACTGATAAATTTAATCAATAATCATTAGGCAGCTGTTTTCCTTGCTACAGGGCAAGGGGGCTGTTGTGTTCATCGGGTCCTCCAAGAGACAGGCAGAGGTTTACGGGGGACGCTGGTGGCGACGGGGCGAGGGTGCCGTGTAAGTGACGACCGTCTTGCTTTGCAGAGCGGAAGTCTCGTCCACAGCTACCGAGGCACCGGCGGCATCTTCGAGGTGTGCTGGAACGCCCGAGGTGACAAAGTGGGTGCCAGCGCGTCTGACGGCTCTGTAAGCAGCACCTCTGGTTTGCCGGGGAGCTCAGCGGGGTGGGGGGAGAGCGACCCTGGCTGGCTGACTCCTGCGTGCGTTCCCGGGCGTGTGTGGTGTCCGTGTCCGAGGGGCCTGGCACGCAGCAGGCACTCGGCCCACGTGCCATGCTGGAAGGAAGCTTCCAGGCTGGGTGCCATCTGGGCTGGCACCTCATCTGGGAATGGCCGCCTCCTTGTCCCTTGCAGAATGTCATTCTAGTCAGCGTTTCTCAGTTAAGTCAGTGGTCCCCAACCCCATCATCCTCGCCCTCTGAGGACGTTACAGTACGTCTGGAGGTGTTTGGGGTGGTCACTGCAGTCATGCGTCGCTTAGCGACGAGGCTGCATTCTCAGAAACGCACCGTTGGGTGACTGCGCCGTTGTGTGACATCCTGGCGTGCACTCACGCAGACCTGAATGGCGCGGGCTACGTGGCGAGGCGTGGCGCACCTGGGCCACACTCCCGCACAGCAGGCGACTGCGCCGAGCGAGCGGCAGTGTGGCAGGACAGTGAGTGTGCGTGCACCGCACCGCATCCAGACACAGGAGAGGCACAGCGCAGCTCAGCACTGTGACCACGAGCCCGCCGCCGCCTGTGCCGTGTGGCATCGATGGGGACGGCGCTGTGCGGCGCGTGGCTGCAGTGTGGTGGGGGTGGGGCTCCGGCGTCTTGCGCGTGAACACAGGGATGCTGCTCAGCCTCCTCCGGGGCCCAGGACGGCCCACGGCCGGAGTGTGAGCCCGGCTGTTGCGAGTGCCCACGCCAACAGGCTTCCTGCCCTCGCGCCCACGTTGAGCCCACAGCCCATCTCCCCGGTGCCACACGGGGCCTTCCGTTCTGCCGGCCTCCTGGGGCCCGTCAGCCGTCCAGATGTTTGTCTTGCCCTGGACGTGGGGTTGCCCTGACCTCCAAGGCGGGGGGCATTCTGGCCAGCCATGTCGCCGTGGCCCCCAGATGTTCTCCAAGTCCAGTGCTTAGGCTTGCGTTGTCACGTGTCACCCTCGCAGGCATCCGGCCTGTGACTCCGGCCCGTGGTCACTGCCACTCAGTCCCCGGCCTCTCCGAGAGCTGGCTTCCCTCGGGCTGTTGGCTGGAGTCTGTCTGTGAGCCGCTGTCGCCAGCCCGCCAGCCCTGCCCTCAAGGCGTCTTCGGTGGGCTCTCAGGATAACAGGCGCTTTGTCTTTCCTTCCAGGTGTGTGTGTTAGATCTGCGGAAGTGACCACCAAGTGTCATAGAAAAAAGTGAAAACGAAGTCTGAAGGACCAGCAGGGAAGGTGTGAGGTTGCAGCGCAGTCAGACACAGTTCCGCCAGCTCCCGGACTGTCCCAACTGACTTGCGTTAGTGTGGACTCTGAAATTAGCTTATCCCTGGCCACAGGAGTCTGTAAGTCTGTATCTTTTTCGTAATCTTCATCGAGAAGTTTAAAAAAAAAAAAAAAAAAAAAAAAAAAAAAGCAAACAAAAGTAAAAGCAAACAGTCGTTTCAAAGGAGGAAGGGAAGGCTCCCACCAGCCCATGTGGCCTGGGGACACGAAGCCACCAGCTGGACGCGCCACTTTGGTTTCCATCCGCAACAGGCTCTGTGAGGGCTGAACAGAACGGAAGACAATTTTTTAAAGCTGTGCCAAAAAGAAAGAAGAAAGAAAAATGCTGTGATGAACCTACCGAAAGGGGAAGAACACCAGAAAAAAAATCCCTCGTTGTTGTGGCATTTTTTTGTTTTGCTTTGTTTCCTCTAACAATTTGGACACTACAGTTGCTCTCACAGAAGATGTTCACAGACCAGGTTGTACCGATGAAATGCGCAACTCTGTAACCCCACGCTTTCTGTTTTCTAGATTCTTCTTTGTTGGGTGGTTTTTCTGTCACAGGGGCCTGCGGTCTGAGATGGAACTGTTTTGGGTTTGTCGCTCCTTCCCTCCATCGTGCGCCACTCCCGCCGCCGCCTGTCCCCTGTCTGTCTCGAGGTTTGGCTTTCCTGTGCACCCTAGGTAGGCGCAGCCACGGACAGATGGCAAAGTCTCTGGGGGACAGCGTCCCTGTGCTCCACCCCCCGCCCCACTGCCCACTGCGTGCCCGCCTGCCCGCCCTCTCCCTTTCCCCCTCACATAGTTGCTTCAGATCTGAGGTCTCAAGGGCACTTTTGGTGCATAATAAGTGCTTTATGTAAGAAGGCAGGGCTGGGGAACTTTTTACAGGAGAAAACAAAATGACTTATAAGAGAAAGAGCCTGGAGTATTTTTGGAAAAAAAAAATATTTTTATGTTAAAACAATTTTAAAATCCCAAAATGGCCATCAGACATAGAGAGCTTTGTGTGATTCATATTTTAAAAAGAAATTTAAGAAGACACAGGCGGGGTCTGCGGATCTTTCCCCTCCCCCCTCAGCTTCGTGGAAGGTGGTCTGGAAAGCACTGGGTGGAGGTGGCCCTGGGGGACAGGATACCCATGCCCGTGCCCGGCCCGCAGCCAGTTAGGACCATCTCAGCAGTGTGGGTGGGAAGAGCGGTGTGTGTTTACCCTGGCAGCTGGCAGGGAAGCGGTGACAACAGTGTGCATGCGACCATGAGGACGCAGCTCCACCAGCGGAAGGTCTTGGAGAAGCCGTGTGAGCCGACGGCTGGCCGTCCCGCCGTCAGCCTGGCCCCTCCACAGCAGGGCAGGGCGAGTGCTTGCATGTCCCACGTCAGGGCCCCAGCATGTCATGTCACTTGGTCTAATGATGACAAAAATTAACGAGGAAGGAAAATTTTTCAGTCCCAAAGGTAGAACGTCACTAAAAATTTCTGCCGTCTTTATAATTTCTTTCTCTCTCAAGAGACTAGGAGAAAGAATTTTTTTTTAAATCATCTTTTTACTGTTTTTAAAAGAAATTAAACAAGGCTTTGTGTTCCTAGAAGAGCTTCCTTTCATTAGATCAGGTGATCTTTGTACTCTTGTTGTCATAACCTGACACTGACTTATTTTTTTTTAATAGCAACCGGGGAATGGTCCAAAGACGGTCCAGGCTGTCTGTCCCTCGGGCTGTCCTGCGGGCAGAGGAGGCGCTGGGAGGCTGGCCAGGCCGGCGGGGGCTGCTGGATCGGCAGGCAGTGGCAAGGGTTCGCTCTACGTGTGTTCTAGCAGCAAAACAGGGAGGCAACGGAGGGTGGCATCCATCCACAGAGCTGAAAACCAGCTGTCAGGGAAGGGCTTCTTGCGGGACTAGGAGTGTGCCGGGACCAGCTACCAAAGCCAGGGTGCGTTAATCATTCTCACATAGTCCACTGGCCTCCACCTGGGCATGTGAATTCTTCTAGCCCCAAAAGACCAAAAAGCTGCTCTGTTTCCAAGATGAGTATTTTATTCAGGCTGTTTCCCAAACACTTAGCAACGATGGCCAAAGTCACATGGTGTCACCGTGCCCATCTTTGAGGATAGCAGGCCTCCCCAGAGGAGTTGACAACTTCCTGCCCTGAGAACTCAGTAAGTTTTGGGGGTGCAATATATGGGGTCCCAGGTGAACACCGTCTTTACCCCTCCCCAAGTAAAAGTGCATTCATCTCTTCTGAGTGTCAGCTCTCAGAGGCCAGCCCATTTTGGGGACACGGCTTGTGTGTCACAAACCAGGACACTGCAGGATGGTGTTGGTCCAATGCACCGTGACGGGTTCACTAGACAATCTGCGCATGAGTGTTGGTCGCCAGGGTCTCGCCAGAGTGTTGGCTTTAGCGTTTGCAATGTGACCACGTCGTAACTGTCAGGTTGGCGCCTGGGGCTGCAAGACCTTGGACCCTGGGCTCAATCCCTGTGCCCAGGAGGAGCCCCCAGAAAGACAAAGGGAGACGGTCTGCCCCTGCCCTCCCACCTGCCACCAGGACGCAAGGGGGGCCAAGGGAGAACGCAGCCATTGCCCCTGAAAGCCACCCACACTTGGCAAAGCCGATCCTGGAGCGTCCGGCGTCTGCACGCCCGCCTCCTCCCTCACAGCTGCCAGAAGTCAGCTGACTCGTCTTTGTCACCACAGGGGTGGCCTGTTTGAAATGCTTTTGTTCAACGATCACCTTAAAAAATGGCGAGCAGAGCTTGAGTGTTGGTGACCAAACTTGACCTTGGAAGCAGGCGTGACGCGGCGGTCCCTGTGGAGTCTCCGGCAGGGTCTGAAGTGGCCACGCACACCTGGGAACGGGACGCTGCCCCCGGGACCAAACAGGCCGGGCGTGGCGGGGCTCGACCCTCTGACCCCACGGCCCCCCCCCCCATGACTGGACTTTGTTTTGTCTTTCTAAAACTAGATCTTGGAGCCAAGTGAAGTGCACTTTGTCAAATGTTAGGGTCTGCTTCGTTCCTAGTTACTTTTCTGTTTTAACCTTTTGTCCCACCTTTTTTTTTTAAATTGTGTTTCTTGTGTGATGCAGAAATGTTCCTTCCGCCACTTGCTGAAGTTGTGAATTCTGGCTTCTGCGGTTTTTATTGTCTGTGTCAGACGTACAGCCAGACGTGCTCTCTGTCAGCGTTCCCAGATTCTGCTCAAACGACATCGGCTTTGTTCCGTTCTCCTCTCCACTCGTGCTCACCCTCACGCTCTTTGGGAAAAAAATCACCGTGTGTGTCGTAGCTCATTTGTTTCGAGAGAATCAACAGATCATATTCAGTGTCTTGAATAAATTGCTCTATTTTGATATTAGAGAACGTGGTGGGTGTGCTTCCTTCCTGCTGCCCCGTGGCGGGGACGCGCCGCGCCGCCTCCCGGGATCGCTCTGCTGAACAGCCCGAGCACGGCCAAGGGCTGTCACCGCGGCTGCTCGGAAGGGTGTCCTGTGCAAGGAGCATGCTTTCCGGTGGGTTTCCTTTCCATTCTTGCATTTCAGCCGGGCTGTCTTTAAAGGGCAACACAAATGAACTTTCACCAGAAGGTTGGTTTGCTGGGAGTTTGGATTCAAGGACCAGCCCTGAGTAATTTGAAGAACTTAGCAGTCACAGGACAGGGTGACGGACATCTGACGTGACTTCTGCACAGTGCAAGCTAGCGTGTGGCAACCACGGGCCAACGTTTTCCCTGCCAGACTCTGCCATGCGTGTTCATTGATGCCACTTCAGTTAATTGGTGGGTATTATGTGATGCAGTTAGTGGTGTTGGCCGTCCCTGTGCCATGAAGGACACGGGCTTAGTCTTAGTCCAGGCTTTCACTGTGAAGGTGAGTCCCAAACACTGCTGTGTCCCTCTCAAGCTGCTTGGTCTGCTCAGGGCAGAGCAGAGGTCAGGCCCCTCTGGGTTCAAGGCTACTGTGGATAATTGCCCGGGAAATATCCAAGAGTATCTGTGGGCTTCACAGATGACTCAGGCTCCTGAAGGGGCCAAATCCCAAGTACACGTCTTGAATTGGCAACTGTAGGCTAAATGTTGGCCAGACACAGTGGTTCACACCTGTAATCCCAGCACTTTGGGAGGCCAAGGCAGGAGGATCACTTGAGGCCAGGAGTTTGAGACCAGCCTGAGCAACATAGCGAGACCCTGTCTATATAAAATATATTTTTTAAATTAGCCAGGTGGTGATATGCACCTGTGGTCCCAGCTACTTGGGAGGCTGAGGCAGGAGGATCACTTGAGCCCAGGCGTTGGAGGCTGCATTGAACCGTGATTGCACCACTGCACTCTTATCCTGGTCGACAGAACAGGACCGTCTCAAAAAATTTTTTTTTAATTTTTCTTTATAAGACTAAATGTTAAATGAACAATTGTCACCTTTAGGGGAAAAAAACCCAATGGAACCCTTTGCTGTAGTGATTCTAAAAATGTTTTCCTTTATTCATTGAGGTGCCCATTTAATTTTATGTATTTTGGGAACCTAAGTTTCAACTTACTGAACAGAGACCTCTTTTTTTTTTTTTTTAACTGTGCCATCTTGGTGCTGTTGCAGAGGGTGTTTGAGAGTTCTGGGTGTTGGGGCGGAAACCTAGAAGTCCCTGCGGGCTGCATGGAAGGGGCGGGCAGGGTGAGGACAGATTCAAGCCCTGATAAAAGACTCTGGATTCGGCCGGATGGTGTTTTCCAGTCTGGGTGCTTTGTCTCTGCATTGTCGCATCCACAGCAAGGGAAGCAAGGCAAGAGGACAACGTCCCGGCGTCCCACCTGGAGAACCACGCAGGGGTAGGGTCGAGACAGCGGGGAGGGGAGGGAGAGTGGTGTTTATTGCATCAGCCTTCCCAGGAAGTGAACGCCCGACCCCCTCCCCTCTTTAAGAACTTTCCTCCTGTGGTGTCCCCTCCCTCCATCTTCATCACTGCCTCCTCCCTGCCCAGGTTGACTGCATACGCAACATCTCTCACATCCATCATTCCGTCCCTGACACCCAGGCCTGGCCCAGGGCCTATGTAGCCACAAGAAGGCATCCACTAGCCCTGTCACTCCACTTAGCCCCCATCAAAGCCGCTGGGCGTGTGTCAGCTGGTGACACTTGGTGCCCCATCTAGGAGTCACCTGTCTAGGGCAATCAGATCTCGGGGTGCTTATGAATAAGCTCAGGCTAACGTAAGCTGAGAAGGATATCGGGCAGCTTTGAGAATCCTGAGAACCAGGTGTGGGGCTACACAGGAACCGCCAAGGTCAGGCGGCAGGACTGGAGCAGTGAAGATGACACAGAAGCAGCAGGAGCTGCCCACACCCCAGTAGTGGATGCTGGACTGGCCTGGGACACAGCCTGGTGCTGCCTCCCAAAGTGGGCCTGCCTGCTGCCAAGGCCTCTCCAGAGGTGCTTCCCTGCAGCCCATTTGTCCCTGGGGCCCCAGCTTCTAACATAGAGACGTGCCTGATCAGCCCTGCCAAGTCACTTGCCTTGCTCTAGCTGCAAGGGAGGCTGGAAAAGCCAGTAGTTGGCCTCTTTGCTTCTAGAATGGGGGTTGGAACTGTGCCTGGGCAGGTAGTAGGGAATCAACTACACAAGGGGCCTGTGATGGGGGGCTGGGAATGCAGACAGAATGCCATCACCCAGATGCAGAATGCAGACGTCTGTAGAAAACCGACACTGCCTCACGTCTCCTTGACACCTTTGATGGGGGAGGTGTGGTCTAGCCCAGGCCCACCTGTAACAGGGCGCAGCAGCAGTTATCCAGAGAGCCTGGGGCACCACCTCACGATGTGCTCAAAATCCACGTGCAGCTTTGTGATGCCAGAAGTACAAATGTAGAAGCTTCCTGGACAGCTTTTCTACGATGAAAGGCAGTCCCAGTGTTGATATGAAGGGAGATGTCACCTGGCAGAGCTGTCTGCAGACTCCAGAGAAAACAGTGTGTCTTGCTTTCCTACGTGCACACTGGGCAGCTTGCAATCCCAACGCCTGCTGCAAGATTGTGTAAAAGAAAAGTACACACAGGAGACTTCAAAAAGTTAATGGAAAATACGTTTTATGAAAAAGCAATGCAGGGATTTAAAAAGGGTTTTTTACACCAAAATAAACTCGTACTACCTTATTATAACATGTCTGAGCAGGATCTAGTTTGAGGCACTAAGGAGGACATCAGTTTGAAAAGAGCCCCTATCAGAGCAATGTGAATTCTGGTAAAATTGAAGCAAGAACAAACATCAAATTTATGGTGATGCTTGGGTGGAAGAATGGTGAACTCGTCAGTGCTTCATGAAAAGTTTGCAGGGCCAATGCCCCCAAAGGATTTGGCAGTTTACAGATAGATACCTTGTTTTAAGAAGAAGATGTTGAAGATGTGGCTAGCAGTAGCAGACCCTCCAAGTCAATTCTCAAGGAAAAACATTCATCTTGTTCGTGCTCTAATCGAAGAGGACTGGTGATTAATAGCACAAACACTATAGGCATCTCAAGGGTTCAGCTTAACACAGTTCTGGGAAATTAAAGGTGAGCAAACTCCACTCGATGGACGCCAAGACTTGCACCTGGATCGGCTGCAGACAAGAGCAGAGCTTCCGATGAAACTCCAAGTAGAATCAGGATCCTGAGCATTTCTTCCAAGAACTGTAACAGGAGATGAAACACGGCTTTGCCAGCACGACCCTGGGGACAGAGCACAACCCAAGCAGCGGCTGCGAGAGGCGGGAGGGTCCGTCACAGCCAGGCAGACTGGTCAGGGACAGCGATCACGGCAGGAGTTCTGGATGCTCAAAACGTTTTGCTTGTTGACCTTCCAGAGGGAAAAAGAACGAGAGCATCTGCTTATCACAGGAGTGTTCGGAGAAAGTCAGCTGAAGCTTTGGCAGAAAAACACTGGGAAAGCTTCAGCGGAGAGTCCTTTCCCGCCACGACGACATTCCTGCCCGTTCCTCCCGTCACACCGGGTGATCTTGCAAGAGTTTGCTGGGAATGTTACAGCAAGTGTTACAGCGACTGGCCCGGGAAAGAACCGAGCGGCACACAGTTGAAGAATCAGCCTTTATTTTGCTGGAGGGCTCAGAGGGGCATACCACCAAATTCTGAGCACCCTTTCCTGTTTTTCTCTCAGTTTTGTACAGTTCATAGGGTTACAAACACCCAATCAAGTGTGAGCTCAGGGGGTCATCCAATCAGCAGGATTCAAAAGCAACCAATCAGTAGCAGGATTCAAAAGCATCCAATCAGCAGCAGGTTTACACACATCCAATCAGCGATGAGCTGTGTCTGTAACCAATCGGCCACAGGGACCCGGAGTGGGGTTTTTCCCCATCAGGAAGTCATCAGGCCTCCACCTTACCGTCCTCGTGTGGCTCCTTCTGACTTCTTTTTGTTTCCTAATATTAAAAAATCTGTCAAGGGCACCCATTTTTGTTCAGTTAATGATGTGAAAAAGGCCACACTGACGTGGTTAAGTTCCCAGGACCCTCGGTTTTGTAGTGATGGATGAAACGGCTGATGTCATCGCTTATAAAAATGTCTTGACCTTGATGGAGCTTATCGGGAAGGGAAGTTTGCCTTTTTTCATTTTATTTATTCCATTTCTCCATGAACGTTTTGAACCCTCGTACATCTTAATGGATGGGAAGACTGAGACACAGGCAACGATCTGAGCATAAGTCAGGTTCTGAGCTTGGACCGTGTCATTGCTCAACTAAGCAAAGGCTAAATGCACGACCAAGCCCTGTCCCCTCCCCACCTGGGTGCAAGGAGGCCATGCCGGCAGCCGCTCCCCAGCCATCCTGCTGGTTCTCCGCCTCGCTGCTGCTGGCATCACTGATGACCTCAATCAAGATCATCTGCTCTAGAACACATATTTTTACCGTAGGCTTTCACCGTGTGGATGTCTGGATAAGCACACACTCGCCATGGTGTCACACACTCACCATGTGTCACACACACCATGGTGTCACTCGCCATGATGTCACACACTTGCCATGGTATCACACTCGCCATGGTGTTACACGCCATTGTGTTGCGGTCCCCTACAGCGTTCAGTGCAGTCACCTGCTGTGTGGCCCACGAGTGACCGGCAGTACCATGTGGCGCAGGCGCATCGGGCTCTGCTATCTGGGTTTGTGTGAGGACGCTGCGCTGCTCCCACCACGGCAAAACCACCTAATAACAAGTTTCTTGAAACTTATCCCTGTCCTTACGTGACGCGTTAGTGTATGCCAGTTTCGCTAGAGGAGGTGTTCAGACAGACCTGAGGCCGGCGGGTGGCTGAGTCACAATGACTTTATTTGTCAACTTCCCCACGTACTTGGACCATGCACGTACGCAGCCACCAGC